CGCTGCCCGTTCTCCTGCGAAACGCTGACATTTCTGACAACCGAACCTTCCGCTGCCGACGACCGATTGCACCGTGCTCGAGCCCTTTGCCAGCTCGCACGACCGTTCACGTGTCCAGGTAAATGTTCACCGATCGACAGGGTGTCGCGAGCCGCAGGTAAGCGGACTCCATTTTGGAGCGATCGCGAAACTGGGAGAGAGAAGAAATTTTGCTACGGGTGGGCGAAGTCGTCGTCTCTCCGCGCGGCCGCCTTCGACTTCGACGCGATTCCAACGCGTGTTTCGTCGGCTTCTCGAGCCGGCTCCGAGGAATTCTGTTTTTCGAAAAACGCCGATTGCGATCGTCCGCGGCGCAACTTCCTCGGCCGTTTCGGCTTCGTTTCGAGAAGCAGCCGTCTCGGGAAAATGCGACACCCGTTTTCGGTACCATTCCGTTTCTCGACATTTTCGCGCACCGACGACCGGGCACTTTGGCTCTCGCTTAGATAAGAAGTTGAGAACACCGTGGCCGATTTTTCGATCGCGTGCAGCGTGATCTCTCGACCAAACTATCTGTTCGCGAATCTCGGCGCAGCCGCGTCGAGGAAAAATGATATCGAAACTTAATGATATGGAACTAAATATTCGGGCAACGACGATACCCGTTACGAAAATATCACGCACAGTTCTGTTTACGCATTCCTCTTCCTTTGTTATTTTTATGGATGTAGTAACTGTCCTTGGATGGTGCCAGTAAACGAATTTTGAATCGGACATGAATTTGTATACACTTAGGAACATAGAGGAGAGATATTTTTGAATTTGAAAACCAATTTTTACCTCGAACATAATTTACATTGCATTTCTTGATCAATTCACTTTCGTAATAATCAAGAGGCTTTGATGGTAAGATCTTCTTTCATTGAGAAAGTAATTTTCTAATAATATGTAGGAAATAGTATGTTTCGTAACTATTCTATTTATTGCTAAACAGTGACGCACACCAAGTACAGTGGTACAAGAGATAGTAAAAAAAGATACAATAATTCTCGTAGTTGTATGCCGACGCCGTAAACCGTATTCGTAAGCCGTATTCGGCATAATTCCGTATCGTTATTCGTATCGTAAACCGTGATCGTGATCGTGATCGTGATCGTGATCGTGATCGTAACCGTGTTCGTCAATCGTAATCATAGTCGTGTTCTGCATATCAACGTTAGTCGCGTTCTTCCGTCCTGTGCCCTGCGAGTGCATCCTTTCATGGATGCGCCGATCAACCGTCAAATTTGGCCGTTTGATCCGTTTGATGTTTTTTAGATCGCGAAGCTCACGTATGCATGCACACGTGTGCGCGTGAGGTTAACACACGGGAGTCCGCGAGCACCGATCGGTATTATGATTTCGGAGGTCGCTCCGTCATCGTAACGTGTTCCCCTCTAGTCGTCAACCGTCGTCTCCTACAAATACGAAACGTAATTGGATATTAAGTGTATTTAGTTTTACTTTGATATTCTGATTGAATACTTGAAAATAGTGCGGCTGCATTTGGCAATGTTTTACCTGCGAAGAAAGCTGTGATCTTTTTCAAATCAAGCAGTGTCTGATTAGTATACATAAAATATTGAAGATACTCAAAGTCACGGTCGTTCGATATAATTTTTTGGGATAAAACAGGTGACACCTGTTTTCTGTAAACTCATTGCCAGTTTAATTTAATATTTATGACGATCAAGATTAAGTGGTTTTTATCTTCCCCCTGTCAAGATTACGATATTACGCACTCATCTTCTTAACTTCTTGTCTCGGATCGGTTCCTTCGGTCCGCTTGCACTTGCACCGTTTTTCAAATTTTTCGGGTCGCAAAACGCTAAAATTCGCAACGCTATCATTTACGTCCGCCCCAAATTTATTGAAATCGAATATTCGTTCATCGATATCGTCGTAACGGAAGATAATACTATCAGAACAGTCGATCTAAAATTAATGTTCTTACTAATGATACAATTTAGCGTACCTCCGAATTATTATCCAAATTAAAATCTTCTCAACTGACGCAATCAGCGAATAAAAGTTAATAGTTAAAAAAATAGTTAAATCGAACTTTGACAGCACAATATTTACTGCACGAAATGCGAAATAGCAATCGAAAATAAATCGAATAGCACGAATCGTAACCGATCAACTATTGGAGGAATTCTTAAACGCGAATCGCATCAGAAATTCACAATGAATGACGCATTCCAGAAATAGAAGTGAAATTCTCGAAAACGTGTTTTATATTTTTGAATTATGCATGATCCACTGCGCCACTGTAGTAGCATAATAAATATTAAATAAATAGCAATTAGCATAATATCTAAATAGTCGATTGGTTAATAGGATATTGAAATTGTCGTCAGTGATGTATTACAGTCTGTATTGCAGAATAATAAATCCGTAAGAAGATTACTTATTGGTAATCGAAACGTAGAGTAAACGGTGCAGAGTATTATAGTCGTCAAATTAATATAATACATCTCATCGCCCAGTATATTTCATAGCATAGTATTATAGCTATCATATTACATTCATTTGGTCACTCAGTATCGTAGTCGTCAAATTATACCACCTTTCGAACGAATAGAAAAGAAAATATTCGTCGAAAACAGGCAACCTTTACTGTACAACTGAATTTTTCGCAGTAAGAATTTTGAAGATGGCGTCACACCAGTCGGATTTGCCGCATGTTAAGTCCATCAGCCGAATATCAAAGCTGCCCATCGTAGAAGATGGCATACAGATTGCCAGCAGTGTGTACGTCAGGATAAAGGTAAGATCTGTGCATAATGTTGGAACGGTGCGACGTTTTCGCATACAGCGTCGCTTTCCCTCACCTTTCACTCGCTGATCTCTGCTCTCGCAAAACGCTTTTACATCCGAAGCTGGCAAGACTTGTTGTCGCATCTTCTCGCAACGTTTACCGGAAGTTAGATTTTGAGGAGGACCGTTTCCAGCGGACCTCTCCGCACGGCTCGCGAAAATAGTTATCGACAGATTTATCGCCTTGCGCCAATTGTATTAGCTCGCAGATGCGAAGCTTTCGTTTCTGTCGTCGCACTTCGAGTTAGAGTGATACCCGCGTTGATAGGTTCCCCTTCAATTTCAGCAGCTTCCATTGCAAACCGACAATATGCTGGTCGAGTTGTTTTCGATTTGTTTTTGAGAAAATCAATTTTCCTCGCGCAACAAATAATTCTCGATCCATTGCTGTTTTGAAATTTCCGTATGTTCACACGTGAAACGATTGAAATATGGGGATTCGGGTTCGTAAAGCCTCTGATAATGGATGTTTTATCTGCGATGATTTATTGCTAGACTCGTGCTTTTCTTTCACTCGCGTGGTCGGCTATGAATAATAGGATTCCATCGGCGCCCAAGTTCCCGTGAGAAACTCAATTGCGCCGTTTTCTAATCCGATATAGCGTTCGAACTTTTTGATTAACTGGGGCTTGGACACTGCCGAGCAATCGCTGGTGGTGGCAAAAGAGATAGCGACACCGGCCATCAACGTTTTCAGTGGTCCAATCACTGTGGTCGACCATTTGCTCTGCAAAGGTATCGACGTGGTCGAAGAAAAGGTGCCGGCGGTGCATCTGCCCCCTCG